TGCGTAAACTTATCAACCTCCATCTGAATCTTTGTCTCCATCAGTTTCCTTTCCCTCCCCCCTGCTAGAGAGGCTCTGGGGTCAAGAGGCTCCCCGAATAGCACCCACAGACTCAGCCCCTGGATCCCCTGCCCCAGACTGGAGGCTGGGCTGGATTCAGAACGGGAGGAGTGAGAGGCTCTGTATCCCTTTCTCTAGTGTCCTCAGCCCTCCAGCTCCCCCCGGCCTGGCAATGGATTGGATCCAGTTCTCTAACCCCCAAAGCCAGCTAGTCCCCCCATGAGCTGAGGCCAGGCCAGAGCCAGCACCCCTAGAGGTGAAAGGCCCCATGTCCCCTTCTCAGATTCTACTGAGCTAGTCAGTCCTGCTAACTTGGGGTCAGACTGACGCTGAGCCCACTAGAGGGGAAAAGGCCCCGTGTCCCATTCACTGATCCATCCAGCGTCTCCATCACAGACACACTTTTATTTTGCTTAAACAGGACGAGATCAACCACCTTAAAACCACCAGTGCCCCCCGGGGGGCCGTGCCCGTGGGGTTTAGGGGCTAGAACACACTCTAGAGTGACTCTGCTCCAGCACGAGATAATTAGTTAATTCAGGCTCGGAAGGGAGATGGTGAAGTTCATGTGCTAAGTGTTACTATTAGATCAGTGTCCCCAGGTCCCGTCCCCCTGAGCTGGCCTCTCCCCACCCACTGCCCCACGGCCCTTCCCCGACTCTCCCACTGCCTGAGTGTGGCACTTCTGTGTTGGGTTCTGTGTTTCTATGGTGCCTTATCACCAAGGTCTCTTCTCCCCGGGACCCCACAACCTTTCTTCCCTGTCTCTGCAGAACAGACGCTGGAGGTGGACCGATGGCTCCCTGTATCGCTACAATGCTTGGAACATTGGGGAACCAAACAACAAGTACGACGAGTATTGTGTTGAGCTGGTGAGCCACACAGGTAAGCAGATGCTCAAACACACATGCACCAACAAAGGAGTGATCACAGTATCCTGGCCACGCTCTAGCTCTCTCTGCGGAGATGGCCTCCTGTCCTGTCACCCTGCCTGTCTCCCTCAGTTCACACTGCCGCTCTCTCTTCCCTGATCTCACCCCAAAAATTCCTCCCCCATGTGTCCCAGTTTGAGGTTCAGCTCTCCAGTCAGAGGCAGGCCACACAGTACATTTGGCCCCAGACAATCAGTTAAAGGGAAAGACCAGAGCATGGCTATTGCCCACTAGTTGATACATAGGCAGGACATGGGTTCTTCCGTTGGTACCTTGATGGCTTTTGGCACCCTGATTCTGGAGGCAGCCAGGGGCCTATTTTGGCCCCAGGACAA